TCCATTATTCCTTGTCCTGCTTTCAGCTGCATTGGTAAATGTGTTGACCTCTTCTTCTCTGTGACAGCCCCTCAAACATCGGAAGACTGCTATCATGTCATCCTTAGTCCTACTCTTCATTAGACTAAACATTCCCTGTCTCCTCAATTGTTCTTCATATGGTTTAGCCTCCAGCTGCTTAATCATCTTCGTTGTTCTTCTCTGCAGCCTTTGTAGCATCTCAAGATCATTTTTGTATTGTGGCAACCAAAGCTGTGAGCTTCATTTGTGAGTCCTTCGCTAACTAACTGTGAGCTTCATTTGTGAATTATTTCTAACTAGACACATATAGGATGATGGATATGTGTCCCAGATTATTAGGGCAATTTAGCCCTGTATAACCTAACATCCCATGCCTTCAGCAGGGTTTGAGCATGCCTAATTCCATACAGACACAGATCCAGTTTAGAGTCTAAAAGTGCATTAAGCTATGGAATAGGAGGCCAAACTAAACAAAACTTTTGTATGATTGGCAGAGCTAGATGAAAAGAAAGGAGACAAACAGGACATGTGACTCAACACTACAATTTGTGTCAATTGCTCATAGCCCAAGAAATGAAGGGTCACATTTCCATGGAGACTCAAATACTGTGGACCCCAAAGAGACAAACAGAGCATTTTCATCCAATGGCATTGCAACAGTTCAGAATAAATGTATGTAAAACAACACTCACACACACACATTCGGTACAGCATTTAACTACCAAGAAATTATGAATGATGGAAGCATTCAAGGTCTAAAGCATAAGGCCAGTGGGAAATGATGTAGGTTCCACCATCAGTACATAAATATTCTGAGCAGTCACCAACAGCGAAACAAATGATATGAGGCCCAAAATGGTTTGTCAAGAGGCAACTGGACTTTTTCAAGAAAGTCCACTTGCCTCTTGAAAAAGCACCTTTGGGACAACTATGACCTGGATGACTGAGAATCTCCACAGACAAATGATTTGAGAGTCCCTGAATATGCCTGACGGGGGTTATCATCCATGTTCTGCTCAATTTGAAAGCATTTAGAAAGTTTTTCGGACCTTCGTACCAAGTGTGCAAAGTCTAAATCTCCAGCAAGAAATCTAAATGCATCTTACATGTGTAACTTACACATTTCAATCATAAAAAGTATTTAGCTGAATCCGTTAAACATCTGCATTCAAAAAAAAAATGCTCAACTTGGTTAACTTAGCCTTGGTTTAACCCTTGGCCTACCTGGCTGTGTGAAGCCAGCTCACAGATGGTTCACTATATAGTAGGTTCCTACCTAATATTTCCCCCGAGTTAGTTTTATGATGCAAATAGCCGGCTTTAGTTCGGCAAGATTCTGTCTATAAGTGAGGCACAATAAAGAAATCTGCTTAGAAGGATCTCAACGTATCTTTCTTGGTTTTTGAAGACTGACAAAAGGGGATAAATTTAGTCATATGATCATTTCCCCTTCCACCTGACCCACTCCCCCCCAGATTACACACATACACACACATATATATAAAAAATAACACTAAAAATCGAAGAGTGATTCCTGGGTACATACATTTCAATAGATAAAAAGGACGATCACCAGGAAATAAAACAACAAAGTTTTAATAAAATAGCCAAGCTTTCGATGGCTCAGAATCTGCCATCATCGTCAGGGTGTAAACCAGTCAATGATGATGGCAGATTCTGAGCCATCAACCCAACAATCCCAGATGGAATCTCCTAAGCATTTTTAGGCAAACTACTTTGTCAGATAGCTCAATCTGTTCACATCTAGAAAAGGGGGGGGGGGAACAGCTGAACTGTAGAGAAGGGAGCAGAAAGCCAGATATATATTTTTTCCAGACTTCCCAAATTTGATAGTATAGGTCAGCCGTCCCCAACCTTTTTGGCTTGGTGGACCGGCAGAGGCGGTGATGGCGAGGTGAGAGAGGGGATGCATGGATGTGCGTGTGTCACTTTCACAAACACAGCTTGGCACGCATGCACGCACCCACCACTTCCACCACCCTTCTCTGAAGAGCCTGTGACCCAACACCGGGCCACAGACCAGGGGTTGGGGACCCCTGATATAGGTAACCTAGATGGACAGAGGATCATTTTAAGTTCCAAAGGAAAGATGAACATTGTTTGGATCTAGCATGCTGCCATAAAAAAACCTCAATAGTTTTGCATCCATGTAATTCTAGAGAGATGAATAGAGAGGCATTACCTAACAATAAATTGGACGTTAGATATTGTTGCATTGGGCACTCTATTGTTTCAGTTAATAATTAACTTGCCCTCCTCTCTCATTACAGTTCAATAGCTACCATCAGTTGATTGCCATGTTCCAAAAAGCTCTCTCAATTTTCCATCCCACCATCACAAAGAAGAATAGGTTACATCTTTCTATTGTGGCTTCTTGTGATGCAGCAGCTTGTATCTAGGTCTGTCGGAACTGAGACCTCACTTTGATTCTCATTGCCTGTTTTTGAGACAAAGGATACGTCTCATAATAACAATAATAATAATATTTTAAATCTGCTCTTTCAAAGAAGCAATCAATACAATAAAGGACCTCGAGTAGAAAACAGAAAATTGAAAAGCTACCCAGATGAAGTTATTGTGTTATCGTCATTGCGCTCTTTCGCTGTTTTTCAAACACATAAAAAGGTTCACTGAACATCGTTCACACATTTTGCTAGACCACAAAACGGTCTGCTTGTTTCTGGATGTTGTGAATCCGGCCACTTTTATTTTGTAAACTACCATTGATAGTTCCGTGCGTTATGAAAACCCAGCCAATTGTGATTGTTTAATAAACCAGAACCAGACAAAGCTGATCTTACCACAAAGTGTGCTGAGTTTGTGTGAATTTTCTAACAGGCTTTGGGAACAGTAACCACATTTGGGGAATAAAAACTGAATCTGTACCTTGAATCTATTTTGGTTGCGCTTGGGAGACAATCTCCCATATATCATTTCCCCCCTCCTTCTTCCTTCTAGTCTCCCAATTACTAGTTAGGTTTGAATTTTAGTTCTATTGAGGTCGCATCAAATATATATGCTAGGTTATATTTTATTCAGCAAAAAAGGTTTTCTTTGAATCTTTTATCCAGTCATTTCTTTTCATGCTTTATTCATCCTCTCTGCTCAGCTGCACTTTGAATATATGCCTATATTTCTCTTTTCCTTCCTTTTTGTAAAAATATGGACAGATATATGGGTGGGAAATGAAAGCTTACAGCAGTGATGGCAAACCTTTTAGAGACCAAATGCCCAAAAACTGGCCCCACCTCTGCTCCACCTCCACCCCGCCTGCCCGCAGGGTCACTCACCGCCTCCAGGGCCTGCCGCAGATCGCCCAGGCAGCCCAGCAGCGCCATGGCGGCCACGCCTTCTGCCCGTGCCCCGCAGCATCAACTGTGCGTGATTGGGCATGAGGGCAGAGTCTTGTCTACGCTGCCTGGCTGCCATGTCCTTGGCTGTGCTGCTCAACGTGGGCCACGCTCGGGGGCAACTCTCCTCTAGGGGGGCTGGTGGTGAGGAGGGGAGCACGAGGGGAGGCGAGGCTGGGGCAACAGCATGTGTGCCCACAGAGAGGGTTCCGAGTGCCGCCTCTGGCACCCGTGCCATAGGTTTGCCACCACTGGCTTACAACCTCTTTTTTGCTCAGCGCTTCTGCTCAACAGAGAGGTGGTCATTTCTCAAGGTGAGCCTTAATTACTTATTTTAATTTGATCACAAACGTGCCCCAATTTGATGGGGGTACAATACGTCTCGACTAGAAACTGTGATGGGATTCAGCCAGTTCGCACCACTTTGGCTGAACCGGTAGCTAATTTTTTGTTGCCCAGGCCCAGAATGGACTTCCGGAAGCGGCATCCACACAGAGAACCAGCGGTTCACATATTTGAATCCCATCACTGCCTAAGTTGCTAAGCAAGGTGGTGCCCAATTTTATGACCCTTTATGCCCCAGTTGTTAAGCAAATCACTGCAATTTAAGTGAATAGTGCTGTTATTAAGCAAGTTCCCTTATTGTTGCAAGCCAGCTGGGCCAGTCTCATCCTCTCAGCCGTAGGATTCACTTAAATGACTGTGGCAAGATCATAAAATGGGGCAAAATTCACTTAACAACCGTCTGGCAAAGCAATAGAAAATTTGGGCTCAACTGTGGTCATAGGCTGAGACTACCTGGACTCTCATATCCAAGTATCAACCAGATTCTTACCCTGCTTGGCCTTTTGAAGATCAAGCAAGATCAGCCACAGGGTTTGCCAAAAGCTACCAGTTCAAACCACAATACAGATCACACACGCACTGCAGCACAATTCTTAAAACTGAGACTCTGATGTGAAATGCTTGAAATATTTATATATAAAAAAGAATAGAGCCGAAGCTGTCTTGTTCTAGGGAACACTTAAACGCGTCTTTGAAAAGTGCTCCTTACATTTCAAATTCCTTTAATAATTTGACAAATAGGAACTCATCCATGTCAATACATTTTGTTCTGCTAGCAAGTGGTAATTAATCCCAAGTGCTCAAGAAAAATTAGAAAGCACATCATTTGTGCTTGAAAGGAATATATATATATATATATATATATATATATATATATAGAGAGAGAGAGAGAGAGAGAGAGAGAGAGAGAGAGAGAGAGAGAGAGAGAGAGAGAGAGAGAGAGAGAGAGAGAGAGAGAGAGAAGGCTGTTGATTCCAAGCAATTAGATGCTTTATGAAAATGAAATGTTTAATAGAGACGTTAAGTTTCTCTAGGGAGAATTATAATTCATGTCAAGTTTATGAGATTCATTGCAAGGAGTCCTCACATCAGCCAAAATCTCTTTTAGCGACACACCAGATTTTGTAATGATCTCTAATATATAGCAGCAACAATACTTTTAACCCTTTCCCTCTTTGAAAGAAATATCAACTGAGGGGGGGGAAAAATATTTGGGGAATGTTGCCAAAGTAAGGAGCACAATATGCGGGGGGGGGGAGAGAATCACATTTATTGCAATGATCACTGGGATTGACATGGTAGTATAGAGGTGGAGCTTTCGCCTCACAATCAGAAAGCTGTGAGTTCAATCCTAGGTAGTGGCAGATATTTCTCTCTCTGGGCGCTAAGAGAACATATCTGCTGTGAACTCCACATAGGCATCAGGAAGGGCATCCAGCCAGTCAACGCTCAAGCTCCATTCAATCGCCCTGACTCCACCCCTTCACAGCATCTTTAAAAGAAAAAAAGTGCAATGATCACTGGGTGCCTGTTTGATAGAAATAGAGATTCCCACCAACTGGAAAAACTAAGATTTCTTTTAGAAGTTGAAGAAGTTTATTTCAGGTTCTAGTGAAGAATCCACACAGTTTGTGTGCAAAAACTTTGCCTAGTCACAAATACAGCAGAGTTAAAGGCCAGATAAAAACCAAACCAAGTAATGGATTTTCCACTCAAACGTAGGAATTGTTTTGCATGTCGCCTTTTTTCCCATGTAGCCTCCAAGAAAACAGAATAGAAGTCTCCGTTGACAAACTAATCCAGATAATGTTGAAGTTCTTTAGAACTTTGCTTAAAAGTTCAGGGCTTGCATTGTTCTCTCCTCTGAGCCTACCCTCAGTTGGAGACATGGTTTTATTTTGGCTCCAAGTTAGCTAGAATGGATTTATATGGGAGTCAACCTGCTCGAAGAACAAGCGGAAGGATGTGAGTTTCCAGCAGCTTTAACTTGTCTTTGTTCCTGCTTTTGTTTGCCTTTAAATAGGCTATTGTAAAGAGAATATTCTCTGCTCGGAATCGGTAGGTTTCTGTAACTCCACTTGCTAATGCAACAAAGAATGTCTTTCAAGACAATCCCCCCAAGAAGTCAATACTGGCATTTCTGTGGATCAGCAAAGCTGGAAACGGCACACAATCTCACTTAGCATTTCAATGGAACTAAAAATTATTCATTTATGTATGTTTTAGTGAGTGTCAGATTAATTAAAGACAATGGATGATGTGAAAACTAACTCCCCATGTCATCCTTCTCTGTTTCTGTCCCATTAAACAATGAGAAGTGTTGACACCTTTGAGGTGGGCTCCAGAGGTCACATTTGACATTTCCAGAAGCTGCATGATATCCGTTGAGTTCATACCAGGCTTTTTTAGTTCCTGTTAGAACAGTCCACAGGTTTCACGTACATCATAAGCACAAGGAAGGTCAACTCGCGTAGCCAACTCTCTGCTAATAATGTCTGTTGCTTTCATCTTCTGAAAGGTGGCTGGCACGCTCTGCTTAACTTCTGTTTGATGAACTTTTGCTTTCATCTCATGGTGGACATGCTTCTTCTAGTAGGTTCTCCCAAATCTGTCTCCCTTCCATTTCCATCCACTGGTTCTGGCTCTGCCGTCTGGGGCAACAGAGAATTTAATGCCTCTACGAATCAGGGAAGGAGATCAACAAACGTAGCATCCCATCTCCTACCGTGGTTACTCAAAAAACTTCAGAAGTCAATATGGACATAAAATAGGCACATACTTCCCTTACTCTACAAAATGGTCAGACCTCTCTTTATAGACCAGGGGGTTTTCAAACTTGGCCCTTGTGGATTTCAACTCCCACAATTCCTCAGCCAGGCACGCTGGTGGAGGAATTCTAGGAGTTGAAGTCCACAAGTCATAAAAGGGCCAAGTTTGAAGACCCCTGTTATAGACACTGAGATTAGCGGCCTTCAATGCCAATGCTTGTTCTGCAGATGAAGGTTGCATGGTTTGAACCAACAATCCTTAATAACCTTTTCAAGCTAAGGAGAATTCTTAACACACAGGACAAGGCTGGAAAGGTTTATCTCAAACCATCTAATAATATTACTGTCAATGGCTGCATTAAATGGGCCCTCTAGCAGGACAAACAATATAGTGACTAACAAAAGAGAATATTTATAAGGTAATATATGGGATCCTTGGTGCTCTCTGAGCTGGGTTATTTTCTTGCAGACGTTTCTTTACCCAACTAGGTAGCATCATCAAGGCTAGAAGGCAGTGAGGCTTGCTCTCTTGTTATATACATGTGGCTTGCCCTGTTAGTGTTTCTTGGTGTGTCCTTGGTGGTGCTTTGATTGGGCTGTTGTTTACCGGTTATTTGCCTGAGCTGACAGTTCCTTGATTGGAATGTTGTTTACTACTTGATTGTTGGTCTAGTATTAATCTTGGTGTTAATCTCTGCTTATCTGGGGGTAACTTTCAGGATCTTTTCCCAGAGAGGGCTCGGTGACTTGATCAAGTAAAATATCCAGGCTGTAATTAATTCCACTTGCCAACATTTCTCATTCCCAAGGCATCAGTTTGCAGTCTTTTTTTTTTAAAGCCTGCAATTCAGTCATCTGCCACTCAGCTTTACACTTTACTGGTGGGGTGGGGTGGGGGAAGCACAAGAAATTTACTCCCTTCCAGTCAACCAGTTTTCTAGAAATGACAGGAGCAGCCGAGTTGCCAGCACTGCAGTAAATAAACCCACTTGGGAGCAAAAGATTAATTTATCATACGTAGTCCAAGGAAGGCAGATAGGGAATGAGTGTGATAGATTTTCTCCAGCCATTTAATTAAATTTAGACGTTACTAATAAAAGTGTGTTATTTCTCAGGTTGGTAAAGCCTTGGATACAATCATTTCAAGAAGCTGAAACCAACCTCCTTACAAAGCTAGTGGTCTGTGGGCCTTCTTTGTCTTGCAAAGAACAAACTTGGGAATATTTAAATGGCTAGTAGGATGGAATCTTCCAGAAAGACTTCTACAGAGGATCACTTAGTTTAGAAAAGATGCTACATAAATCATTGCATTTTGCAAGGTGATGGATGGACATCATTTGTATTCCGCATGAGTCGGCATACCGTTATACTATAAATAAAGCATTGAAGCTGAAAGAAAGAAAACAACAGGATGTTATTCCATTCAAAAAAGCACTCACCAATTGGCTACATAAATTGCTGATGATTTATATGATTTAAATTGCTTCACAGGATGAATGTGAAGGAAAGGGGGAGGAGTTAGCTTCTTTTTTAATCCACAGTTTCTTCAGTCTGCAAGTTCGCTCCACAATAAATAAAAGACTTAACAATCTACCTTACAAACACATATACACACACACACAGCACAAAGAGGCTGAGAGCATTTTGACAACTGGGATCAAACTAACACTCCATCTGGTGTCCTTCAGATGAGATAGACTACAGCTTCATTTATTCGCAGCCAGAAGAGTGGCTTTGGGTAAAGTAAGCTGTAGTCCATCCCCTTTGTAGAAGACCACCTTAGGTGTTGAGTGTCACTCAAGCAAGAAAAGTCACAGAATAAAGATACTAACACCAACATTTCACATCTCCTTTTTTTTCCAGACAGAGACCCAAACCACTATACAACCTCAATTGGGCAACCTGAGAATGGAATGGGGTAGGGTAGGGTAGGGTAGGGTAGGGTAGAATAGAATAGAATTCTTTATTGGCCAAGTGCGATTGGATACACAATACCATCATCATGATGAGTTTAAAATGATAGAACAGCCTACTAAATAATATTATCTCCAGATATATTTGAACATTTTTTTAATGAAGATGTGCACTTGAATCTAATTGGGGAACAAAACTAAGTCCCTGATTAAAAATGCATCTGAAGCCAGGAGCCTCCAACTCTATTGATAATTTAACCAGATGGATTAGTCTGAAAGGAACTATTTTGAAATGCATGTGATTTTTATGCAGTTCACATTGCCACTCTTTTCTCCCCTCCTTCCCCCTCCCCTCTCTAACACATGCCCACGCACACCACATAAGCTCATACTCAAACTTGTTTGAAACAGAAAAGGAATACAACTGGCAGTGCTTTAACAGAATCCAGAGAGTTGCTTCTCATGCTTTGCAACATCTGTGTCCAAAAGGCAGCGGTACAGCTATGGGGACAACAGAAAAGGACAGCAAACTTTGAAAAAAGACATGAGCAGCCAAAGAATGGAACACCAAATTGGTAATTTGGTCTCCCTTTTTCTCCCTCTCCCCCCAGAAATCTTTCCTGAGAGAAACAATGGTTATTATCTGCCTTGCTTTTGTGGTTTTTTTCTTTCTGATGCTCTCTTTTATTCTATCTTTTGTCCCTTCTCCTAATTTTCTGTCTTCTGCTTCTAGGAACACAGTCTTGATTTATATGCTCAGGCAGCCTATAGCTTCACCTTTTCTCCAACAATTGATATCCCCTGCTAAGGAATGAATCTATGCATGAATAACTGCCGTAATAACAACTACCAGTTGTTCTGACTTTCCAGCCTGTTATTTATACTCAAAGTAATACAACAATAATGCTAATGTGTTTTGTCTCTTCATCCTGCAGCTATGTCTGAGGGAACTCAACTGGGACTGAATTTGTCCACCTATCTGGGCAATGGATGTATGACTGCTGCAGAACATCGCTTTCAGCACCATGGACAGTTCTCAGCCCCCATCACTATCCTGCTGGCGATCCTCATGGGACTCCTAGTGTTGGTCACTGTCCTGGGCAACGCGTTGGTCATCTTGGCATTTGTGGTGGATAAAAGCCTACGGACCCAGGGGAACTTCTTCTTCCTGAACTTGGCCCTGGCAGATTTTTTAGTGGGTGAGTGAAGCCTCCGGGAAATGAGCCAAGCCAGGGGAAAGTAAAAGATTGGAGGGGGGTTGTCCAGGATAAGTTGGACAGTTGGTTTCTCTCTAAGAGCTCAAAGCTCTTAGAGAGGGCAAAGGAAAGAAGTCTTCCTTCATTGTATCCCAAGAGAAAGCATTGTATGAGGTAGATTGAACTGAGTAATAAACAGAGTTCACACTTCTTGGGTGTTTACTTAACCAGATGGTGTTGACTAATACAACAGCATTTAGCAATAGCATTTAGGTTTAACATACCGGCCCATGGCACTTTACAGTACTCTCTGGGTAGTTTACAATGTCAAAACATTATTTGCGTATTGCCCCCAGAGGTCTGGGTCCTCATTTCACCAACCTTGGAAGGATAAAAGGTTGAGTCAACCTTGAGGCCTGTCAGGACTGAACTCCAGGCTGTGGCCAGTTTGCCTGCAATACTGCATTTTAACCACTGTGCCACTAACGTGCAATGGTTTGGCTGGGCTGGGTTTACATAGGACTCCAAACCAAATCCCAAGTTGTGATGAGTTTTTGAAATTAGCATAACTAGGATGAAAGAGAACATGATCCAAACTCTCAATGGCAATGATAAAGCTGACGGGCTGGCCTTGAGTCAGCCATTGCATAGGTTGGTTGTGACGAGACTTCGCGTTGATCCAATATGTTTAAACTGATTGTTGAATTAACCCATTTGTGGATTCACACAATACAATGAACTGTGAACCAACCAACATGAGCTGGGTTTACACAGCACATTAAGCCACAAAATAATGAACCAGGCTTCCCACTAAACCAAACTTTACAAGGCTGTGTAGATACAACCCCTGGGTTTGTGATTTGGTTAAATGTGTTCTGTGTACAAAGTCCTTGTGGAAGAGAGATCATTGCAAGTTGCCTTGTGTTCTTCAGAGGAAAGTCTCAGCACATATATAAATACTGTGTAAAAATGAATAAATGTGGCACAGAAGGCAAAAATCAAAGATTTTGGAATACAAAGAATAACGGCAGTGAAAACAATGTGTAGTTCTGTTGACATGGCAACTGCAGAGTTTTATCACTTTCTGGCTCAGTTTATATTCATTTTTTTTAAAAAAAGGAATTTACTTCACAGGGATAGCATGTGCACAAAGAAAAGAAAAAGGCATTGTTGCTCGTGGGCTACAAATGAGAATTTAGTTAATATCATAGTGGCAAAACTCCTAGCTTAGAGATACAATGGCATTAATTTTTCTTCCTCTCAGTTAAGGAATGAAAGGTGGCTTTTCATGTGGAATCTAAAGAAAGTGGAGAAGGGGGCAGCTACAATTCCCAACTGCTCTCCGGCATCCATTTAAACCTAGAGTCCCCAAACTAGGCAAACTGAACTTATTTACATTTGAAAGGAGGACTTTAAGAGATAGAATTTGCTCATTAGAGAGCTGAGACAAAAAAATATCAGTTGCATCTCTTGAAAAGCTGGATTGCATGCCTTTGACTGGGAGATTTCAGTGCACTCTTTTTAACATTTAAAATCAGAGAGGCAGGGGAAGGAAGGAAGGAAGGAAGGAAGGAAGGAAGGAAGGAAGGAAGGAAGGAAGGAAGGAAGGAAGGAAGGGAGGGAGGGAGTTGAATGAGATAATCTTTGCATTCCTTTCCAACTCTTCATTTCTATGAAATAATGCCCAATCTCATCCGATATGTGACCGTACCATGCTTGTTGTTAACAATTTGGCCTCAGCTTATGACTGTCTCACCAACCTTGTTTCCTTTGGTCTGTGCTCCCAGGTGGATTTTGTATTCCCCTTTACATCCCGTATATACTGACCGATGAATGGAAATTTGGAAAAGGCCTGTGTAAGCTCTGGTTAGTGGTCGATTACCTCGTCTGCACAGCCTCTGGATTCAACATTGTCTTGATCAGTTTTGACCGATTCATCTCCGTAACAAGGGCGGTAAGAAACATTGCTTTCCATGGGCTTCTGATATCTCCAGCCCCTGGCGCCTTCTCAGAATTCAAGTGCCACCTGCTTCAACTCTAGGCACGTGACACAAAGCCACACATTCATCTGGGCAACCAACCAACTGCAACTAAATAAGTCAAACTGCTATGAACTGTAATGCTTGCCCGGAGCCTTGCTTAGCTAACTGATGGCTTCTAGATATTTTAGAAAACATTACCATGAGCTACAACTAGTTACCTATATTTTATCCTTAGCAGATTGAAGGGACTTGTTCCTTCTCCCAACATTTTCTTACTCATTGTCTTTCTGACATCATCACACAGTTCTTCTCCTATAAGTGACCCATGACATGGCAACCACGGTCTTTTCCTTCTTGAAGCATAAAACAATATTCTGAAACCCCAAGACCAATTTCAAGAAGGCCAATCCATGCTGGCTAGGGAATTCTGGAAGTTGAAGTCCACAAGTCTTAAGAGTTGCCAAGCTTGGACACCCCTACACTAGTCAAAACTTTCCTCAACATCACACTAAAGGGAAACATTGAACTTGTCCACACATGAAGTCATAGCGTTATCTATTTAATGATGGCTTTTTAAATCAACTCCAACTCCATAGATACATGCAACACAGTCAGCATAAGACACTTAGCATGGCCTCAAAAACTGTAGTAAGATGTCAAAAAGGAAACCACGTTGTTGGTATTCACACATCACACTAAAGCAGCGGTTCTCAACCTATGGGTCGCGACCCCATTTGGGGTCGATCGACCATTTTTCGGGGGTCGCCAAAGGTGGCGATCCACCATTTTTCGCGGCGCCGTGCACGCGCGCCGCATACGGGGGCGCCACCGCGCATGCGCGTCGCGCATGGGGGCACTGCCGTGCACGCGCGTCGCGCATGGGGGCGCTGCCGTGCACGCGCGTCGCGCATGGGGGCGTTGCCGTGCACGCGCATCGGGCCGCCGCGCATGCGCGTCGCGCATGGGGCACCGCACATGTGTGCTGCGCATTGGGGCCCCGCCCCCATGCGCACGGCGCCACGCATGCACAGAACATTTGTGTGACGGGGGTCGCCGTCACACAAACGTTGAGAAGCACTGCACTAAAGAAATCCATACATGTAGATTTCTTGGCTTGACTTCCTAAATTGTGGAGAACTAGAGCTATGTAAATCAGTTTTAGTGTAGCATGTGGTGGAAAAAAATGGCAATTGTGCTCCATTCAACAAGTGTGGTAAAGCAAAGCATAGCTTGGTATATAGTATGTGAACCAGATCTACAACTTGGCATGATAGTCCAGGTCAGGAGAAGGTTTAACTGTGAAAGTCCAAGAGTGAAAACCTGTGGATGGCCATCAACTATGGAAATAGCTGTTCCTTTGAGTTTTCCATCTGACAAATAAGCTTTTCATAATAATTAGATTTCTACCTCTATTATAGGATCTAATCAGGGTGAGCCTGAGGGAGGGGTCAAACATATCATAAGTCTCAAGTCCCTTTGCACCCACAAGAAGTCTAAGTCCACCTTGAATTCTGTTAACTCTTATCTACCGCCAATTTGTCTTGACCGTTAGTAGTTCAGATATTTGTAGAGAGCATTAGTATACAATAAACCTATATATTCATTTGAACTGCCTGATTTCTTGGGCTTGACATCTACTTTTTCTTCTAGGTGAGCTACAGAGTTCAGAAAGGGATGACCAAAACCACAGTGGTGAAGATGGTAATGGTGTGGATTGCAGCATTTCTCCTTTATGGTCCAGCCATTATCAGCTGGGAGTACATAGCCCAACAAAGCATCATCCCTGAGAACAAGTGTTACGCCGAGTTCCACTACAACTGGTACTTCCTCATGATTGCCTCCACCATTGAGTTCTTCACACCATTCATCAGTGTCACCTACTTCAACTTAAGCATCTATTTCAACATTCGCAAGCGGACACAGGTCGGAAGTGAGAGCTCCTCAGCAGCCCAAAAGGACTGTGAACTTTTTTGCTGCAGGAAGAAACGAGAGCATGCCATAGTTTTCACAAAAAGAAGGGACAAAAGGAACGAAAAGGTGAACAGCTTCACCCCTAGCAAGCCTGCTGTGGGGAGGCTCAGCATCCATAACCTCCAGACACACTCAGTAGAGCTTAACATCAATCAAGACTTTCCACCTTGGCAGGTAGACATTCAGACTAAATCACCGTGGGGTGGTGTCTACAAAGCTCTAGAGAACATATCCAGCACCACACGGAAAGCAGAGGTGGCCAATACCGCAGCTAGCCGGTTTAGGCTTTCCAGAGATAAGAAAATAGCCAAATCTTTAGCCATTGTTGTCTGCATCTTTGCGGTATGTTGGGCACCCTACACCCTTCTAATGATCATCAGAGCTGGTTGTCATGGGAGATGCATCCACAATGATCTCTATGAAGTATCGTTTTGGCTACTGTGGTTGAATTCAGCTATTAATCCCGTATTATATCCTTTGTGCCACATCAGTTTCAGGAAAGCCTTTTATAAATTGCTCTGCCCAGCCAAAGCAAAAATCCACCCCAATATTTTTACGTGAGAGAGAACATTGAAGAGATGTTTCTGCCTAGATACGTTTGACATAGAACCACTGAGCATGAACTTGTCCTCCAAGTATGAAAGAAAAATTCAAATGTTCTATTCCGAGAATGGAGAAAGCTCAATCTAGATTTTAGAAAGTGCAAGAATTTACAGTACTTTGCAGTGCTTATGTATGCAAATGAGGACTTATTTATTCTCTGGTACCTAAGCTTAGCACGCTTTGTAAATTCCCAACCAAATCCTTCTTAAGAAATAATGTAATTCTGATAAGGCAATTTAACTAGGGGACATTGTACACTTGTTTTGAAGTAATTGCACATTTAAAAAAAAGGCAGTTTCTTTTTGCCTGTAAGGGTTTTTGTACTGATGTGAATTTTTTTTTCTTCTAAGAATTACTTGTCCACTTTATATTGCAGAAAACACAGTGCAATGGAGCATCTCCCACTAGATGTTCTAGTTTGTGGGTGGACCTTGCTCATGAGCGGAGGTGCTTTCCCAAGGATTACTCATAGTTCTAAAGAATTATTCCAACTTGGCAAAATGCCACTCATAAGCAAAGTTAAAAGTCAAAGCTCATCTCCATTTCAAGGCCATTGAGTCAGCACTGTCCAAAGACATGTCTGCCAGCATGACATCACGGAACGCTGTTACCTTCCCACTAAAGTGCTACCTATTTATCGACTCACATTTGCACACTTTCCAACTGCTAGGCTGGCAGGAGCTGAGGTGAGGATGGGAACTCGCGCAGTTGCCTGGAGCTTGAATCTTGAACCTGGGCTGCCGACTTTCCAGCCTACAAGGCCAGTGTCTTGACCGCTACCGCACTGCCCTATTCATAAGCAAACCTGCTGCAAAAGCTGGGTCAAAAAGTAAGATGGATTTCATCAGGCAATTTCAAGTCAACACACCAAGCCGTAACTTATTGAAGGCATAGCTTCACACATGTGAAATCAGCCACGGTTGCTATGCCAGCACTCTTAATACAGTCATCAATTGCAGTGTCCTTTTAAAAAGAGCTAGTATTATTATTAAATGCAACTGGAGAGAGTGGAGGCCATACCCATTAATAGCAACTTTATTGTTATACTAGCACAAATTAAGGATACAGATTGTGTTTCCCCCTAATTTGACAGTACTGAAGGTTATATACTCTATAGACCACCATTTGTTTTGAATCTTCTTACTATTATCTTGATAAATATGCCCTGTGCGCTGTACTGAACCCTCACTGTATGTCACTGAGTCCCCATATGCAAAATATAACTTTCTTGGTTTAATTTCTTTCCTTTTTTTAAAAAGAACGGTGCTTTATAACTCCAAATACATGCATGAAGATATTCTGAGGGGGGGAATGGGGGGGGGGAAATCCGACAGAACTCTTGACAAATATGAAAAAAAAGAAGAAAGTGGAATCTGGCAGACAAGAAAATGAAACAATGCTATTTAAAAAAAAATAGTCCACAACCTTAGTTAACACTTGCAAATGGAAAGGTGGATTAGAGATTATATGGCTTTGGGGCGAAGACGTGAGGACAGAAGAGAGAAAAATCAGAACACGAGGGAGGCGGGGAAGGGAGGCGAGAGGTACACACCACGTGGAATTTTAGAAGAATGGATTCAGTCATGCTAATTTTCAATTGGCCTGCTAGTCCATATCTTGGGAATTCTGACAGGAATATTTAAACCCCAAATGCTTGGAAGAAGCAGCCTGGAACACATTTGCACATTCACACAAGAAGTGTGAACCGAAAGCCTATCTTGGCACTCCCCAAAGGCACAAAAGTCTATGATCTCTAATACAAGAAGAATGATGAGAACAAAATGCCGTGTATGTGTGTGTGTGTGTGTGTGTGTGTTGTACATGGAAAGACAGAGGACAAGGGCCTACAGAACGGGACCGGGGGTGAGTGGGTGGGGTTGTCATTTGTTTAAATGACCAGTCCTTCATAGATTGGCCCCTCTGATTCGGGGGATTCCCTCCTCAAGCGCAAATGCTCCAGTGTGTTCTGAAAATGTTTGTTGATCTGTTCTGTCTCCTCGGTCGATTCGAGATTAGGAAGGTCTTCCCGGATTTTTTGAATGAGCTGATTCAACACCTGAATTGTCACCTATATTTAAAAAGAGAGGGGTGTCAAACAGACGGGGTTTACACACTGCATGATCTGGTCCGCTGCAAGACCAGCCTGATGCCGAACAGCGTCTCCCAGCATCCTCCATTTCTTGTCCACACCGATAGGGACAGCTGGGAATTGTTGCTGAGCGACAATTGAAAAAAAGAGGCAAATCATACGATCACAACTAAATATAGGACTGCAACTCTTGAAACTAGAGCAGTGGTTCTCAACTTGTGGGTCAGGACCCCATTTGGGGTCGAACAACCATTTCATGGGGGTCGCCAAACAACGCAGTCCGCCATTTTTCCCCCCTTTTCCTTAGCTGTGCTACTCCCTTTTATTCTATTGGCTTTTGAAAGCCAATAGAATAGACTCTCTTGAATAGAGTCTAATTCTATTGGCTTTCAAAAGCCAATAGGAATTGTCCAGGCTGTCTCTGCCCTGCTGAGCCCACCAAAAGTCCCATTCTACAAACGGTGCTGCACCAGTTGAGTAGTCCTCGACTTACGACTGGTTGAATAGTCCTCGACTTACAACCGGTTGGGGGTCGCGGCATTAAAAAGGTTGAGAACCACTGATCTAGAGGTTCGCAGAATTTTTCAGTGCCCATTCATCCAACGGTCAATCTGATATTAGATTTTAGCAATTTAATTGAGGAGAGAAGACCTCAAGAGGGTTATGAAGATTCAAGATCATAATGAGGGTCCATCACTTAATCTCAAATCTCTAATTCGCTAACCCAAAAAACTCTCCTTTTTCAACTTCACATATGCACTGCATATTCAGAGCACTCCCATGATAGAAAAGCTGCTGGGAAATGAGATGGCCACCGTCCCTTCCTGCCACTGCAGAGAAATAAAGGACCATAGATTAAGTGTAACATGTAGTCTGACCTCTGTCAGACAAGGCTGCGCTATTGATAACAACTGGGCTTCAGACAAAGAAGGCACAGTGCTAAAGGAAACTCCACATTTGAATTTATCATCTGCCGAGCACCCTTACATTGTAAGAGATAATTAGATATTTAATTACAAGTAGTCCTCAACTTACAACCATAATTAAGCCCAAAACTTTTGTTGTTAATTGAGACAACAATTAATTTGTTAAGTGAGTTTTGCCCCATTTTACATTTCATGCCATATTTGTTAAGTGAATCACTGCAGTTAAGTTAGTAACTCCCCCACTGACTGCTTCTCAGAGATTGCACGACCCCAGGACAGTGCAGCCGTCATAAAGACGAGTCAGTTGCCAAGCATCTGAATTTTGATCATGTGACCGTGGGAATGCTACCAGGGTTGTAAGCGTGAAGAACGGTCCTAAGTCACTTTTTTCAGTGCTGTTGTCATTTTGAACGGTCACTAAATGAACTGTTGTAAGTTGAGGACTGCCTGTAATTTTAATGTAAGTCAAAAGATTGCCTCCTTCTGTTGTTGGATGGAGGGGGAGAAGAACTTCCCTTCTTTTTTTGGTCTCATTAAAGTTTCTATTCTGATGGAAACTTTGAAGAGATTCTCGTAAAAATATTGAGGGTGATTGGGGAGGGCGGGGGGGGGGGGGATAGATTTTACATATCTGCACAAAACACAAAGTGCTGCTCCTTACCGCCTCGTTCTCTTTTTCGTAAAAGTAGATATATCTGTTTAAAATTTCTATGAAGAGTTGAACTTGCAGAGAGGGATCCATGCATTGGTTGGCTATCTTCAGCGCCTTTTTCAAGCATTCCATGACCCTCTTACCTCCATGGAGCTAAGCAACAAGACCGGGGGAAAAAGAAGGGATCAGAATTCCCCACATCAACACATTTATACAATGATTTTCCACAGATGCAAATCGCACGGCTAACGTTTATTCATTTAGCTGGTTTAGGAAGGATGAAGGAATTCACAAAAATTCCAAAGGAAATGCAGTTGTATGTGCACCTCTTGTACATCGATGCCGGTTGATTTTGCCTCTGTATTCCTTCCAGAACCCTGCCAATATATGCCAAGGCTAAATTTCTCCTTAACCCAGACATTAATCCCATCATACAGTGTTTTCCGAATCTGGTTAACATTAAGACGTGTGGACTTCAAGTTCTGGAATTCCCCAGACCAGCATCCCCTCCAAAATAGTCCAGGCCAGGAAATCAAAAACCAAGAACCAAATTCTACCTTTATTGTGAGAATACAGCAGCAGAATGTTTCAAGTCTTGAAAACGCTTCCCCCTCCCCTGAATTTACTTTCCAAAGAACTAGGGAGGGTCCTTCCTGGGATGCTCTCTCCACCCCAATACCTTCTGTGGACTAGTTCTTATCTCTTGTCTGGACTGCAGCTGCTTCCTGCCGTCTCTGTTATTCTCACAGCTCATTATAGAGGACCCTTTCCCAAGTCTTGGGCTGGCCTTACCTCTTCCCCATTCTTGTCTGTGTTCCGCCCAGACCAGAAGAGATGGGCGCAGGTGCTCACGGCTCGGCACTGATCTGGCTTCTTCAGCAATTTTGAAGCTGCCAGCGCGCACTGAGTTCTCAAGGGCTCGTGGTTCTCCTCGCCAAAGCACTTCATCCGTTCAAACGTCCCAATTATCAGCGTGATTGCAGCCAGCTGGGCTTTTGAATCACTGATTTCATCTTCATAGAGAGAAAATGCCTGATTCAGAGAAGGAATATGGGCAGAGGAAATAGGAGAGAGAGAGAGAGAGAGAGAGAGAGAGAAGGAGAAGCGTTATGCACTATATTCTTATTTGCTTTTCTCAGCTCCTCTTTTGAAAGTTAACAAACAAGTATTTCAGCAACCAGTGGATCAGGTTAAGCACTTTCCACAAGATACAGAACTGTTAAAGATCACCATTCCCAACCAACTGGGGCTACTCGGGAGAAGTACGCTGAGAAACAATTAGGCCTAGGTGATTTTTCTACTTGCTATTTGAATTCTTCCTCCCCAAATAAAACAGGAAACAGAGATCACGAGCTGATAACTAACATCTTGCACGCAGACCGTGTCATGCTTGATCCTCGCCACCTGAATTAAAGGTTCTCTGTGTAAACACTGTAGAGACTCATGTCAGTTTTTTGTGGGATGTGGGCACCAAATCTTTAGGGTATGGTTTGTTTTGCCAGGAGTTACTGGAAAAATTAGTTATCAACCACATTCACAGGTTTCAACTGGTGGCCATTGCTTAACAACTGCCCTGTTTAGCATCCGTTTGAAAGCTAGGACGATGCTGCAAAAGTAACTTTTATGACCAGTCCTCGCACTTACAACCACTGCAGCATCCCATGGTCACGTGATCACCATTTGCTCACTTCACAGCTGACGTCTGACAAGCAGAGTTAATGGAGAAGCGGGGCAGTAAAATCACAAATTGTGGTCACGCGTTGTTTTAACAAGCACACTTAGAGACGGAGTTGCTTGTCCCAGTGGTGGTGATTAAGCGAGGATTGCCTGTATACACTGTGAACCACGGGATACAAAACATACTTGCTAGTTTCACAACAACAGGCCAAACCACAATCAAGCCAATGACATGCAGGGCTTGGGTAATCAGTAAAACGTAAGCCTAGATTTTGTCTTACATGTTCAACCTCTTCTTTACTGTAGCAGAAAAGTTTCCAAGCTGGAAATACACCCACTATGAAATTATAACTGTCGCTCATGTCCTCTGCTTTCAGAAATGTTTTTTTTTTTAGTACCTTGAATACTGATTTTAAGTTATTCTAGTAATACCTTTATCTTAAACAGTTGTAATGTTTGTGTTTTTGTCATTCTCGCGACGACATTCAGAAAGATACCAAGGAAAAATAAAGGAGGGGAGGTGCCTCAAAAAAAAAAAAAGGAAAAAGATCTTCTCGACTTCACCTGAGACATGAATTCATAGGCCACTGTCTCGTGGTTTTCAAAGCCAATTTCTCCTGCGGCTAAAGCTCCCTGAAGGAAGAGGCGGAGGGGCAGTTCCGCCAACTCGGCTTTAATCAAAGCGCTGATAGTCTGGTGAGCAAAAGTGAAGATCTTCTGGCATTTCTTTTCCCACTTGTCATCCTTGGGGGGGGGGGGGAAAGGGAGCAAAGCAGGAAGAAATCAGCCCAGACGGGAAAGAACAAAATTTACATTCTTCT